GACCTGCTGCAGCTAGCTCCTCGATGGCCTTAATAAAAGTGAGCCAACTCCATACTTCAGTGGTGCCTTCTTCCTCCATTGTCCTTTCTTTGGCAGACATATCCTTGCACATATCCTTATCCTTCATAAGGCTTATACGCATCCCTTTCGTGACCACAAGTATATTTTATTTTTACCCCACATATACCAATCATACTATAGCATCAAAAGCTTCCTTAAACCCCTAACATACTAGGGCCAACAATATTCAATGGATAACTAATTTCTAAGCAAGGCCAATTGTGGACTTATAGTTTAATAATCATTCCTTGATGTCCAATAGCCCTTATTCTAAATCCAATTCCTTTTTTTCATCTAATTCCTATCTTCCCTGGAGGTAGGTTCAACTTTTCCCTTTTCCCTTTTCCCACTTCAACACATCCCCACTCGTTGATCTTTACGATGTATCAAGTCCTCCCATCCAACAACTATTCTTCCCCTATCTAACCCCACTTAACCTCTATTTCCATTCAATCCCTCATCAACAAAGGATTCATCAAAAACCTCCAAGCAGGTTTGGTTTCTTTCAGACAATTGAGTTTGTAGTCCAAGCCGCACAAAGTCTTCCTTGCAATGGTCATTTGATTAATGCTTCCTTCATATGTTTATATTCAAAACATTGATGGATAGTTATTTTGTAGTTTTGTCTTACGATAAAGTTAGCTTTCTCAGGTCCTCTATCATTTCTTATAAAGATGTTTTTTATTATATTATTTAATAATGAAGATAGAATAAACTTCTATTTTCTTTCAACGCAAAAGATACATCTAGTTTATTTAAAGCAAATTATTTGCTTCAAATAAGCCTCCTAACAATCTTGAATCTTCGTCTCAACACTTGCTCTTGACTACCATATTTGATTTCTTCTTTTATGATGACTAATGGCTCAACATAATTGAGTGGAATGCAAGTCCTCCATATAATATGATTAAGGCTATCCAATCTGATGTAGCACGTGAATAGGATTAACATGAAGTGGAACCCATAATATTTACATTATATTTTTCCTATGTTAAAATTTATTTCCAAGTATAATTGACATTGTTGAAGATTAAAGATAAGGATGCAATATGTGAATTTTAGTTGTGTATTCGGTCAACTTTATTATTGTATTAGTAGTTGGAATATGGTGTCACAAAGTATGCACATATATGGGCCATGCAAGAATCGGCCAAGCAAAAAAAAATCTCAAGGGGGTACGCAGAAGATCAAGCCAAGAGTTAGCCCAAGTGAAGGAGCACATGCATATCTTCATTACCATAGTAAGGAACATTCAAAGGGTGATTGACACATCAAAAATTGTGGTCAAGCAACGTCCCCACTAGCTCCATAATTCGCGAAGTGTGCTCCACAGTTTAAGGTGACATCTCCTCTTTGCTTGGAACCACCAACAATTACCACCCACATTTCTAATTTCATTTTCCACCTAATGTAATGGTGAATAAATGAATAAAAATATATTTTGTAAGAGAATCATTTGTAGAATCGAAATTCAGAAGAAATGAACTTCTCGAAGCTTCCTTGGTGGCTTGATCAAGAGGCTGATAGTTGATGATGAGAATCAAGTTTAACAAATAGATTACATCATATATACCTCTTCATAATTTCCTTGCAGAGCACCTGACCATAAATTCAGCTGTCGCCTCTACTAACAGAAATCTACAAAGAGAGAACCCCTTCAGATGCACCAATGCTTACTCGCTGCCAAGCATTTCTTACTTCACCAAATGCTTTGAATAACGCTCACATTTTTTGTTAAGCGCTTGTTTGTTGTTACGTCATCCAATGTTTTAAAAAATACCAACTCCTCGTATACTCCCAGGGAACTCCGGAAAACATGAAATTAAACGGTATTTGTTGTCAAGCATTTGTTATTTCACCAGAAGCTTGATCCATAATAACAACGCATTACTTTATATGATATCACAATTGGTTGACTACTTACCTCATAAAAATGCTTGCCTATTCTCTACAACATAAACATTTAACTGAATTATTGTTCAGCCTTGAAAAAAAAAAAGCATCTCACAAATAGTTAATACAGCATATACGCTCTTTCTAACATCCCTGCAGCCCAACCATTTGACTCATTTCCGTGAATTTCTTGCTTTGTCTATTCCCAGAAAACTCCGAAGCCAAAACTTCAGAGGACAATAAAGGGTACTTGATATGGCAACCGGATTCCTTTATAGGTAGAGATTTGGAATTATATGGATGGCTTTCCCTTGAGATCTTTAAATGACTGTAAAGATGTTCTTTGGATTTGGCGTTAGAGCTTGAGCTCTCTCCACTAGGGATTTTGCTACAAGCATACGATCAATTCCTTGGGTTCCACCGCTCTCCATCTCTTCTTTGTTATTTCACATCTCCATACAACTTGCTTGTGAGCTTATTAAAATGATTAGATTGTATCCACTATTGATGATTAATACTTGATATAACTTATTCACCTATTAGACCAACATATTTTTGATAATTCATGGGGTAACTTCATAATAGAAGCACAGAATCTACCTTGACTTACTTGACATGTATCAAATGTTAAATTATAGGATAAATGTGCCCAAACTACGCAGATTTAATGGGGATATGCATGATAATCTTGTCACAAGTAGTACTTCAAGCATTAATTGCTTATTTTTTATTTATTATTTCTATAGTTAATAACATGCCTGCGATGATAACAAAAGGATTTATTTTTCCCTAGCAAACTGATATATGATGAAAATATGAACAGACATAATTTCAGTTTAGATTCTGCTTAGGCTAACAGGACACAATTAATCTTAGTTAAATTTTTCAAACCAAGCAAACTGATACAGCTGGTTGATTCCTTTGGCAGTGAAGATTTGGAATTATATGGATTGCTTTTATGGAGTCCTAGAGTTAGCGAAATTCTGAAAACTTGTAGGATCTTCTTTAGGCTGGGTAGTAAACTTTTGGCTTTGCCCTCTCGGATTTTTGCTGCAGCAGATCAAAGGCACCAACATGTTCCTTCTCAGAACTAATGGGATTTTCCTGCAGCTCACTTTCAAAAAATCCAAATAAAAAATTTCACAAATTTACATATCCAATAAATAATCATAATCATCACTTAGTTCGGGCACTTCATAATGACTTCGATTTTACTCTGAAAATATTCTACATCATAACCCCTATAGTTAACAAACTATTGATTAATGAGATATGCCATGAGTCTCAAGTAGAAAAGAGTGTTCTCCCTACATCTAAACTTCTATCTATTTTGACGGTCCCTACTCACCCATACTTTACTTATCCAAACAAGTTAAATTTCAAAGCTACCAAAGATAAATACAATTTTTATAAATAAAAATGAAAAAAAAAGCTCAATGTTGATTATCAAATAAGTTCCAAAAAAAATATTTATACTCTCAATCATAATGACGTGCTTATAAGCTTCCAAAAAAAAATACTACAATTATATTGAAGTATTCCATAATAGATTTTCTTGTTGATCAATTTTAAAACTTTCTTACCACACAGTGGTGTGTTATATCGAATTTAGGTTAATCATCCCCAAGTTCTTCAGCTACATCTCCCTCTATTTATGTCCAGACTTTCGCACCTCTCATCATATAAAGCCTTTTCCGTCACCATTTCTTTCTTAACCCACATACTATGTCTATTATGATTCTTGAAGGTTCCTCATGTTCCCTTAACAATGTTAATTTCATTGCCATATATAAACTCACTTCCAATAGTTATCATATTAATCATTTTACATTAAATCTTATTTATTTCAACTAATTATGTGATTTTGATTACTCAATCTCATTCCTATTCACTTTTTAGCATGTGCAAAATATATGCACCTAAAGATCAATTCGTATTAGGCCATAAATAAGGAGGACTATATGCATTGGACAAATTAAAAACACCGGATATCACAACTTTCACTTTCTTTTTCATTTTGAGTCCTTCATAATCTAGTTTTTATTATTGGCATTCTCATTTGGTTCATATTTAATATTCTTGTTTGAGATATTTAATTTTTAAAGAAGCATTAAGAAAATTACAAACTTATGATAGTTTGACTACAGTGCTTATAAATAACATATTATTTTTGCATTACATGTTGATAAAGTTTTTGTGGCATAAATGGAAATATAATTTGACATAATTTTATTTATATTCTATTTACGTTAACAAACTTTATCTATCCGAGTAATTTTTTTTTCAAACCGCGCAAACTAATGGGGCATCTTGATTCCTTTGGCAGGCGAGATTTGGAATGATATGGATGGCTTGCGTGGTGAAGTCTTAGAGTTATTGAAGTTTTGAAAAACTTGTAGGATCTTCTTTAGGTTGGCGATGAAGTTTTGGCTTTATCCTCTTGGAATTTTGTTACAACAAATCATAAGTGGTCAATAGTCTCTAACAAGTTCATTCTCAGAACTCATCGGTTTTTGCTGCAGCTCGCTCTCAAAAATTATCAATAAAAACTTGCGAAAATGTACATATCCAATAAGTGACAATCATCAAAAATGGCATCAAACTCAATTCACTCCAACATTATTCTTCAAATGATTTCCACTATTCAAGTACATTGAATAATGTAAAAAAAAATACAGCTCCATTCTTACTTCATCAAATGAACTTTACATTTCAAAAATGCATCTAATAAAAGAACATATTCAAGAATGAAAATTCATCAAGAAAGGTCTATATAAAACCAACAAAATATCATCAAATTCTTCGTTAAAAAGCTCAAGATACAGAACCATCAGGATAAAATCTAAACCATACGATTGTAACCAAGCTGCCTCTTGTCAGCAAGCAGAACTGCTTGTAATAGCTAAAGATAATTTAGAGGTTTAAATCGCTCCAAAGAGAATAAAACTATTGAAACGTGCAACTTATAAACAGAAATTTGCAGAAAACATTAATGATTAATATTTGCCAAAATCAGATAGTTCACAAAGACAAGGAAAAATAGTCACCTTTGACAAGCTCTGTATCCGACCATATGCCCATAAGCCCAAAAGTCCAATCAATGCAGCCCCAAGGGTTACAAGAAAGACAGATTCAATCGTGATAAAACCACTAGCCTCCACAACTTCAATTGTACCATTATAAAAGACATTCTGGTAAAGGTGTTGATCAATCTCATACACAATGGTCCCTACTAAATCAAATGATCCAGGCTGAAATAGAAAAATAAATTAATAAATAAATAGTTGAGTTAGAAGTGGATACATCAATTATTATTTAACCACGTGAATAATTAATAGAGCGACACTATCCACTAATCAAAAAATGGAACATAACAACAGTGAAACAATAGAATACCTGCAAGTATTTGCTTACAGCAAAAATATAAGGGAATGTTGCTTGAGCAGATAAGGGCACCGAGGTATTGTAAAACTCCTGTATTTTTAACATGAAAGGTTAGAAATTAAAAAACTAATAAAAGCTCATCAAAAGTAGGGAAATAAAAGACTGGGAAAGGAAAACTACAAAAAAGAATGTCTAATATACAAACAGGGTATGGGCATGGTAAGAGGAACTGTTACTCTCAAATACAACAGCTACTAAAGTCATCATGAATTATGCTTAACCATATGAAGGGATTTGCTTTTCTTCAAAAATCCAGTTCAGAAGGTTCAAATATGCATTGAACTTATCAAAAACGATTGCTTTTGACAAATAGCATCATGTGTTTATAAACAATTCATTTGGAAGTGAAGAAAACACTAGAAAATTTGTCCATTCAAATAATAGCATATTCATCTATCATTACCAATGCTAGGTAAAAAAAGATAATATCGCACTCTTGCTTCAAAAAGATTTAAATTTAGATCACTAGTCTTCACAAATTTGAAGATGAACTTGCATCAAAACGACAACATTTCCGGATTTGCTTGTGGGATTTTCATTAAGATACTAGGTCAACTTTATGCAGCAAAACACAAAAGGCATGAGTGTGGAAAGTTGAATTCAAGAGAGAATAAGCGTTTAGCTTTTGGTAAAAATATCATATGCATGTAGTTAAGAAGTCATTCATCCCAAAAAATAAAAATAGAAGCGCATTCATAAAATGCATCCTTGCATGAAGCATAAACTTAAGTGTAGCCACTATCGAGGTAAAAAAACATAAGGCTACCTGTATGGTAAGATTTTGGACAAGCATATGGTGATCATAAGGAAGATGAAGGCTAGCTCTCGTAGCAATGACATTCAAAGAGGATTCTCCTGAAGTTTTGTATATATCATTAGGGAAAAACAAACTAGAAAATTATAAAGAAAATAAGCACAATAAATTAATCGAATGTTATAAATTAATGACAATGAAGTAGCCAAGAATGTGTAGCAAGCAAAAACAATTTGAAGCAAGTAAACATGAAGTATTAATCAGCTGGAACGTCCATTTTTTGGGGGTATTTACATACATACCCCCCAATTGCTATGTGTTTACATGTCTAACACCTAAGCTTTACATTTTACATTTATACCACCATAATCATGCACATCACATTAAAAAAACCACCATCTTAACTTTAAAAAGGTGCAATAAACCTTTTCACGCATAGGGTGTTATGTAGGTAAAAACTGAAGTTTAGGTGTTAGATATGTAAATGCATAAGAATTATGTAAATCTTCCTTTTTATTTTTAAGTTCAAAGAAAACAATTTGAAAGAATGCAATGTGCCTATTACATATCAAGAGCATCCAAATCAAATCTACCAAAAACATCTAGCACCAAAACAAGCATTAAGCACAATTAGGAAACATCAAAGGTGATAAATGTGAACAAGGACATGTTTATATTCAATACAGAACTTGTAAGGGGCATCTACATTAAGCTTGATGGAACTCCAAACACATTTTCCCAAATTGATCGCACAAACCCTTTAAGTGAAATGAAGAATTTTAATTTGAACAAATGAATAGCATATAGAGGCCCTTTTTAGTATTCTTCCATTAGGTAGTCTGCTGCAAAGGTTGTACAAAGCCAGTCTAGAGATCGTTCTGATAAAAATGAAAACACCAAGATAAAAATATTCGGAAAAAACAAAAGTGGAATTCTAGCCAATGTCGGTTTGAGGCCTGTTTTAAACCAGCTTGTCCCCATGAAGAATCCGTGAACCACTTCAGTCAGCTAAGCAAAGGCATAGATATCTATAACTCAAACAAACTACCAATCCTTCACATGAAAAAGAAATGAATCGAAAGGTACATGTTAACCCCAGGCTCCCAAATACTTCTATTTGCTCTAAAAAACATTTTTAGATTCTATTCATTAGCCCAGTTTGAACCATCTGCCGGAAGCAACAACCAAAAATAGCCAAAAACCAAAGCTTGCGGTAGACCATGTTTCCCCCTCAATTTAATCACATTAATGTTTCGTAAGGCTTTTGTTTCTCATCTGAACCTCTGCAGTTCGTCAGCTATAATGATAAGGAGCAACAATTGATCCATTAAGGAGAAGAGAAATGTTCTTTTTTTTTTCTTATTCCTTTAACATTCCATGCTCTTCATTGAAACCAAATCCCTGCCGCCAAAACCACTGCTCGACCAGTGAAGACTATTATGAGGTGTGAGGATAAAAATTAACAGAAAATATAGAAAGTTTAGGGGTCTATTAGTTTGTCACAAGAAAATTCACACCTTCAAGCCTAGAGAATGAGACCTAGACGCCTCATGTCCCCCTTTCTTCATATTACCATAACAATCAGATCGTATGAATAGAAAACAATTTAAAAGCATGGTAAATTCTTTATTATCAATAGGAGACTAAATTATTCATAAATTCACTTTTAATTAAACAGCAATACCAGAATGAAAAAAAATGGTCAATTTTGAAAATTTCCAACAGCAAATAAAATGCTATGTTAATGACATAACTGCATTATCCTACCTCTTAATAAACAAGAGCAATCAACAACAGTAGAAGAGCAACACATATAATATGCTATTTGATAATGATAATTACAACATGGTGAGGCTAAGAGTACATTTCTAGCCCAATAAAACCAATTATACTCTTTATGTCAATCATATATATTTATAGAATTGAGAGAAATTTAAGAACTACAGGTTTAATTCACAAAATATGCCCAAGTTTAAATGTTGGAGGGCCTAGAAACTTTGTAGGAAACCAACATGGTGAACCAGCTAAAGTTATATTTGAATAGAAGACTTCAGATAAAAAAGAAAAGCAAAACAAATAAAATAAATGTATTACCCTCATTATGCATTCCAACCAGTAATTCTGTCTCTTCCCCTGCTGGAACCACTGTAGTCAAAAAAAATTGTCATAAATGAGGGTAAAAAGCATAAAACTAAAAAAGCAGAAAAAAGAGCTATTATTTCATCATAGAGAGAAAACACACATTTTTTTGGATTCTTTGGAAATACACATATTGTGTCCACCCCAGGAGCTGGACTTAAAGAACCATCAGTGAAGTCTTGCGCTTCATCACCAACTATTCCAAGTTCACCTCCTTCAACTTCAGATACCTCCTCAGCGCTATCAGCCTGACTTCTTACAACTATCATAAAAACAATGAAGTTAATATATACAGACAGATCCAAAATAGTCAGACTAAATAGACACACATATAATCTCGTTAAAATGAAAAGGGAGTTTTTCTATATCCTATTTAGCAAACCTTAAATTTGCTCAAATTCCATCACACAGATTTTTGGGGACTTTAAATCTTTCTATAATGATAAGTCCTATGTCAGCCTTATTGTTGATTAAATCCATAATTTACAATATTCTTCCATTCATAAGATTTAACTAATTTAAGAATTTATCTCTCTATCTCTCTCTCTCTCTCTCTCTCTCTCGCAAATCATAAATCCTAAAATAAAAGGCCAAACAGTTTATCAGAATTTAACAAGATTTAAAGTTGACATGTCAAAAAGCTTTCAATTTTTAATCTTCTCAAGTTCTACTAACAAATCTTGGTTTATTGAATTTAGCAAAAGTCTCAGAAATGATATAGTTCAAAATATGATCAACGGCAACTTAAAAAATTCCGCTGTATCGGACTTGAGCCATAAGAGCTACCATTGAGATACCGGATCGCATACGAAATTTTTTCCTGATTATCAACAAATTCAAAGATATCGCAATACCCATAGACATATATATATTTGTAAATAATTTTTCTGAGCATATACACAAATCTTATGGCTTTCAACTAGAGTATGCAATCTGCAGATCTATAATACAAACGAAATTAGAAACCGGAAGAAAAAGAATCGATGTAAGACACCATAGCAGAAGCAACGAATGCAAATCCAGCATATCTCAATAAGTTCAAGACACCGGAATGAAGCAAGGAAAACAGGAGCGGATGAAAATACCTTGGAGGATCGGAGAACCGAGGAGGAGAAAAGCAAGCACGAAAGAGAAAACCCTAATTCCCATGGAGAAATCGACGAAAGAATGGCGGGTACGATGCAGGAAGCAGTGGACGATTTCGGATGGGCCGCACTCTCTATTCCGAACGGCAACGGCTTCGTCTCGCTTGAAGTCTGAGAGAGAGAAAGAGGAGGAGCTGATCTTTTCTATTTAGATCTATGCTAATTAATAATATTCTTCTTTGCAAGGGATTTCCCACCAAAAAAAAAAAAAGGGCATTTGGTGGTTAAACTGAGTTTTGTTAGCTTATGCGTTTTAAAAACGTTAAAAATAATATTTTCATATCGCAATTATCTAGATGCGGTGATAGCTTTTTGGCATCGGTCTAGCTTTTTCAAAAAAAAAAAGATTTGTAATAATCACTGATATGTGCAATAACTCATAACATACAGTGCAACAACTCATCCCAAAGATTGTGTAATGATTCACCCCAAAGATTTTGAAATGATGTACCGCAAATACATTGTAAAGATGCACCCTACATATGATGTAATGACATCTCCCAAAGATAGTGTAACAATGCACCTCGCAATAACTATTTTCAACTTTTGTACTTAGGATACGATAACTTTCTCTGGACTCTTAAAGTAATCTCCTTCCAGCTCATCACATTACCTATGTGGCCAACTAGAGCCTAGATAACCATGGCTCATGCCCCATGCACATGCAGCTTCTAACTCTGACTTCTTTGGTCTACAGACATTATCACAGCTCATGCAGCTCTTAATTCTGGTTCTATGACATATGGACATTATCGTAGCTCTTTAAGCTCTATACTATGGCCTCTATACCTATGGATGTTATCATAGTTCATGTAGCTCACAGCTCTAGCATATGCGGCCTATGAATGATATATAACTCTCTGTTATGACCTATATGACCAACTACGGCCTATGCAGTCCATAAATCAAGTAACTCCCAACTATAGCCCCTGCAGTCTATGTACGTTATTGTAGCTCACCATTGTGGCCTATATGACCAACTATGTGTTATGTGACCAACTACAATCTACCTTGTCCACGGCTCATGCAGCTCCCAGCTCAGACCTCTGTAGCCTACGAACGTTATCACGGCTCACCATTATGGTCTACATGACTAAATACAACCTGCATGATCCATAACTCATGTAGCTCACAACTCTGACATCTATGACCTACAGACGTTATCCCAACTCTCAACTTCTACAACTTCTTAACATGGTATATGTAGCCAATCAACACTCTTAAAATAACCATCTAAAGCCCACATAGCCAACTACTACCATAGCTTTCAACTACAGCCTCCAAGACAACATAAAATTATACCCACCAGCTGCAACATTCATGACGGGCTATTGCCTCCGTAATAATCAATTATGAGTTTCACAACCCATTACGATTATTATTGTTGAAATATCATTGTACATCAAGTTTATAATTACATCCTTCCTAACTCAATATAAGAGTGGGCATATAAACTTGTTATTACATAGTGGATTATTTCAACTAGGCTAGAGCCCTTTGGTTTTTGTCTTCTATAAGGTTTTTCATGTAAAAACTTTTGGTGTCTCGGCAAATCACTTTAATTACTTGAGTGTATGATTGATCTTTATCCAAATGCTAAGACACTAAATTATTACTCCACCGGCATGAATTTTTTGGCACGCATCAGTTTGGCGTCGTTTGTGGAAAATGAAGTCTCATTTGGCAAAGTCCTCAAGTTCACATTGTCAAGTCTCTACTTTATTTCCCATTGATATATATCATCCAACTGACAAAGTAATCTCATTTGCACCTCTGAAAACATTCTTCAATATGAGGGACACACTTCACTTAAATCTTGAAATATTGTTCATGTTAACATCCAAAACACAATTGTAGTTGGGTAGTCTTCCTGAATCCCATTCAAACATTGATTCTATGAAATTTACTTTCAAGCTGGGGGCAACCATCATTATGGTTTCAAAAGGTCGTTCACGTTAACATCTCCTGTATGATTGTGCTAGAGTACTCATCCTACATCTCATTCAGACATCAAGTCTTTAAAAACCTATTTTTTTTATACAAATATACCCAATTTTTGTTATTACATTCATAACATTAAAATTTTTAACATTGTGCATATAAAATATTTAAAATTATTTTTTCACATGCAAAAATTTAGGATTTAATTTTATCGCACACACATATACTTACATTAAATTTTTCGCATTCATAATACTTAGTATTCAATATCATATATAGGGTTGTAAACGAGCCGAGCTTGAGCGAGCCTAGGCCCGGCTCGTGTTCGGCTCGCTCGAATCTGGCTCGTGTTCGAAATGGCTCGTGAACAGTGTGTTCGTGTTCGGCTCGAATTACGTTTTCATGTTTGTGTTTGGCTCATGTTTGGCTCGAAAATGGCTCCCTTGGAATAAAAATAATTTATTGGCTCATGTTTGGCTCGAAAATGGCTCGTTAGAATATAAAATTATTTAATAAATATTTATTTTTTAAAAAAATAATAATTTTGTATAAAAATATGTGAAGGACAAATTTCATACAGAAATTCAGAAATTTGTTAACTTAAAAAATAATGAATTCAAAAAACTTCACAAAAGTAATTACATCTGTTTTTTACAAGAATATTAACATTATTTGACAAAAGCTTAATAAATAAGAATCAATTTATTACAAATTTTAAAATGTACAAACTAAACAAGAGTAAAAAAAATACAAATAAAATCATAAAATAAAAATCTAAATCTAAAAATAATTGTATTGAACATTTAAGTCTTCTTATGCTTTACATACAACTCAATCTCAAATAACTAAAACTAATTTCTGCGCATTATAACTTCATGAAAATGTTAGTCCGACACGAGCTCTTGAACTGGTG